GCTTTTAGCAGTCTTTGTTGTGTGAAACTTCTTATAGTGTACAAAGTGCCTGCTAACAAATAACATGCAAGGCACTTTTAAAGTGCAGGAAAAGATTTCAAGTCTGCATAGCAACAAAATACCAAAATTTAGTCTAACACATACATGCACAATGGCTGTGGTCACATGTCCTACCATTTCAACAGCAAATGTGCTCAAATGTCAGCAACTTGTCTGATCTCAAAAGCTAAACAGTGTTCACGTGGGCCTGTGAGAATTTCAAAACACAGAATAAGACACGAAGTGTAGAGAAACCCTGGCTCCTGGCACGCTGGCTGAAGGGAGCTTTTAAAGAGCATCTGAAACAGTTTTGCCAAACACAATGTATTGAAATTACCTGAAGGAGTAGAGGGTGCATTTGGCTGTGTGGTGTCAGAAGAACAGTCAAGGAACAAGGAGCAGCTGATCTTTGCTGCAGGATGGGCATGTGTGACAAACTGAGTGCCACAGCTCTGCTGCTGTGCAGGACTGCCCAAGTTCCCTTTTCTCCCACTGTACCAGGCACTGTGACAGGGACCTGCTGGAGGAGAGGAATCATCTCCCCTGCCTGCACCAGACTATTTTGGAGAGGCCACACTGAGGCTGAATTGGTGCTCAAGCAAGCCAGGTAATTTCTGCCTCCTATATGCATCTCTCTCTCTATATGTCACTATGTATACCTATACGCCTCCTTGCCCACCTGCTCTCTCCTGTGTGCAGCAGATAAATGCCTCATTATCAGATTCTTCTGCTTGCTTCCCAATAGACTTAAATTACCATGTTAAATAGGATAATAATAAACACTGGCCTTTAACTACAGCACATCCTTGTTCACTCAGCAGCCTCCCTCTAATCTGATAAAGGGTGTGTAAAAGGCTGCGAGCAAACACGGGGTCAGTTGTTACACAGGTGCCTCTCCTGGCTTTCTGCAGCGTGATTCCTATGGCAGCACAAAGAGATTCAGGCTCACGAATCTGCTTTAGGGGACCTTGATCCCTACAAGAATTATCAGGTATTGAAACAGAGGCAAGGTGCCAAAAGGACATAGTGGATCTGGCCCAAGACTCTTCTGCAGCATTTCAAAAGGCAAAAGTAGCCCTGTGCCATCTGCTTGCTTCAGCACTTGGACTTCAAAACCAAAGTAGCCAAGGAAATCTTTCCGGCTTAGGAACACAGTGGGGAGGAAGAGAGATCTTGGTGGCAGTGCATGCTGCCTTCACACAGAGCTTGCTGCATTTGAGGTATTAAAGAAGCGCTTTTTAACAACTACCCTGGAAAAAAGTCATCTATCCACCCCGAATAAATTATATGAAGGGAGCAAGCTAGATTGAGAACAGAGAGGGCTGATCTGCCCAGACTTTGAATCCCCTTAGCCCCCAGAAGCTAAAAGTGCAATTTATTTCAGTGGTACACCATTTCCTGCCCTATTGCTTTCTTTTTTTTTTATTTTTCTTTTGTATTTAGTTACCTAATCCCCTAGATTTCTCTTGCTGCAGAAAGAGGAAAAAGCCTTACAAAACAACAGGAGATAAAAACAAAGCACTTTGCTGAGCTCTTTCACATATGCAAAATAAGCAGAGACGTGCAAGGTCTGGAAAGAAAGAGGAATTTCCTAAAATGCAGCCATTCCTGAAGGTCCCAATTAATAAAGCCTAGCTTCAATGTTTGCAGTAGCATCAATATATCTGTGGAATTAAGATGGCTTTCCTCTGGTTTTCCAGAGTGAGGTAAACTTGGCTTTCTACCTGTCTTCCTCCAGCCTCAGCTTTGCAGAGCTGGCAAGCAATACAAAAGAGGAGGAAAGACATGAACTAGGCCGTCTGTCGTTGGAGGGTATGAAAGACAGTCTGAATAACAGCAGGAAAGAGAGAAGCAGCCTATGGTTATTTTTGACAGAATTGGGAGAGACTCAGATTGCAGCTTCATAAACAGTTCATCAGAGAAAAACTCGGTCCAAATTAGAGGAGCCCCTTTGGCCAAGCTCACAGAAATACACAACCATTGTCTGTGAAGAGAGAAGTCTTTTGAAAATCAGAATGCTTTTCTTTAAAGAGCAAAACCTAGCTGCTCCCCCCCGTGTGGTGTAGTAACACCAACTTGTGTTCCTGTCATTGCAACTCATGGCTTGCAGCATATTCAGAAAAAAAATTGTGTGACATCAGGCTGTGAATGTTCTGCCTGACACACAGTCCCAACCATGCAATGGAATGAAAAATGGACTTTCTTCTACCTCACCCAACCACGAGCTCCCCTTGATGGGCCATTCTACAAAACAGGAGGTGATACAAAGAACCAGCAGGCAGAAAAAATGCCTGGCACAACCCAAATCCACCCAGCTCAAATGAAATAAAAATGGTTGTTTTGTGTGGCTATTTACACAGAAGGGGAGCATGGAATTTCACTCCACCACAGACGCATGATTTTTGGTGTTTGGTGTACAGAACCGTGACTTGGACTCTGTGATCCTTGTGGGTCCCTTCCAGTTCAGGATATTCTATGATTCTATGACCTCCAAACAAAAAAAGAAAACTCAGTTTCTATTTTAAATGCTAACTAGATAGTATAGGTGAAGTATTTTTCATGCATTGTGATGAAAAGAAGACTGTAGGATGTTTCTCAGGGCAATTTTTCAGTTTGTTTCTAGCATTCTTAACAATCTCTCACACAGAATCCTTTGTGCAACTGGATTAAGAAAATAAAGATCATTCTTAGTCGAGAGATACCCACAAGAAACACAGGAAGTTTCTAGCAACCTTGCTGGCAGATTCAACCAGGAGGAAGGATAGAGGAAGCACAGACATACAGTCCTCTAAAGCTTCCGAGAGGAAAGTGGACCACCAGAGGAGCTTGTTGCTGGTGCCAGAGAAAAGTAAGTTTGAAGGTTATTCTCCCTGTCTTCAGGATTAATTTCATTTACTCATTAATTAACTCATAATGCCTGAAGTGACAAGCATAATCTCTGCATGTCTGAAAAGAGTCCAAGCAAAAAGCATCCCCAAAATCCAGCTACCTTTCAAAATAATATTGTATATGGGGACTACAAACATTAACAATTAGCCTACAATGATCTGCATGATCTATGCTTCATCCTTATGCCTTCCAGCTGCCTGATGGACAGGTACAGTGATTCCCAGAAATGGGTATCAATGTGTTTCTTCTGTCTAACCACAAAATCATTCTCACTTCATTTACTGCTTAGTGGGAAGGCATTGCTGTGACCCAGGAATCAGCTCCTTCCAAATGGACAAGTCTCAAAGTTCAGCATTTTAGTGGTTTAAACTAAGGAGGAGTTTGCTCATCCATAGCAGCCTGGACTGCAGAAAATCCAGCTGTTTGACCTGTTAATGCTCTCCTATCCAGCATTGCAAGAAGAAGACATTTGGTGAGGGCTCTGTGCTGACACAGTAGGGGGATACATGCCACAATACATCAATCCTGGGAAATTGGTGGGTGGGGGCTGGAAGCAGAACTACACTGAAACACTTCAACCAGAAATATGTTCTGGTTCTGAATCACAGACACATGGAATGGTTTGGGTTAGAATGGACCTTAAAGAGCACGAGAGCACCTAGTTCCAGTCCTATTGCCATGGACAGGAACACTTTTCACTGGAGCAGGTGGTTCACACAACATAGCCTTGAGCACTTCCAGGGATGGGGAATGGGAAAGAGTGATCAAGAACAGACACTTGATTATCAGGAAGCTACAGTGAGCTGGACCCCCTCCCTGACACTGGTGTGAGACCAATGCACCAAATCTTTTAACCAGAAGTGAGAGAGGCTAGCAACCCAAAATAAACCTCAGTTACTCAAAGCACCCGACTGCTTACACTGTGCAGCAGAAAGAAGGCACTGAGAGGATCCTATGTCCAGTACCAGGGCAAGGGAGATATGCTGAGCCTTGGCAGTGCTTTGCCCAAAAGCACAGGAGCACCCGAGTCTGTGCTGTGTGCCTCCTACAACGGCAGCCACCGCTCATCTCCAGCGAGGGCTGTTCAGCACAGTTAACTTTGCTGCGAGCCCACAAAATCATTCTGTGATAGTCTCCATAGCATGTGTGCTCTGAAGGCTTTTAGAGTCAGTGGCAGGAGTGCAGTAAGAAGAAATAACTGTCTAGTAACCTTACAGCCAGGCACACACATGCACATCCAGTTCTGCCTCTGAGCTACGCTAATTATTTTTAACGGTAGCAATGCTCTCATGTACCAAACCTGAATGAAAATATACAGCTAGATAGGGAGGAAAATGCATTCTGTCAAACAGAATACTCACTTTCAGTTTACATGTAAGCATGTGTCACACTTAAACAGCAATAATACACAAAATTCTCACATGCCTAAATAAGCACAGATATACGTAGTGAAAGGAAGGAATATAGTTAGGGACAAAGACTTTACATGTGTATAGAAAAAATGCAGGAAGGAAAACTAACCCTTTCATTTAGAACAATATCAGTGCCAAAAGCAATCCTTTTACATGACTACAGAAAAAAAATTAGATTTTGGAAAAAGGGCAGTGTGACTATTTGTAATTTTTATTGCTGCTGGAGCAACGATGTGGCAAGAACCCACCACTATCATTTTTCCCTTCTGTATCCTTAAAATAATTCCCACCTGGGGTGCAAAGAGAGGAAACAAAAGGAAATAGAAAATTATATTTTTCATGAGTTAATCCTGGGAAGCAACTGCTCAGGTTTCCACATTTTTGGCAATGATAATTTAAATAAGGAGAGTGGTATTTTCTTATTTTTTGCACAGTTGGAATGCATGCTTCCAGATAACAGACAATTAAACTTCAGTTTAAGAAGAGGAGGAAGGCAGTATCCGATAGGATTCAGGGGTCCCCTCTTAGTGCTGCTGCATAGCTCAACACAGCACACTACAAAACAGTGCCCAGATGCAAACCTCTTTGGAAATGCTGAAAGCGAGCAAGATCATCGGGGAAACAAGCAAACTGAAAGCAAAGAGAGCATAACTACTGTACCTTTACTTTGGGGAGGGTTCTGACTTCTGTCTCGGAGAACATTAATCTGGTAGACAGCTCCATAAGGCTCAAAAAGTTCTTTTAATTCTTTTTCTGACCACGAACGGGGAATCTGTCCAACAAACATCTTAATGGCATCTGGGTCTGGTTGGTCTGAATGATCCAAAGCTCCATTCATCTTGTTAGCTGTGCCGTTACTAGAAAGTGGAAAAGGAGATTAAAAGGACAAGTTAGGAGACTACGCAGTTTTCATGTGCACTAGATGCAGAAGATGATGTCAATTGGCACACAGCAGAAAAAAAAAATCAGTATTTAATTAATAGCATAAGTATTATGAACAAAAACCAATGCTATTACATTTTTCATTGACTCTGGTTTTCTCTGCAGGCTGCTGCTTAATGTCATTATATAAGATGAGAGCGGCACAACACAACCCAGGACTTCTGCATTTTAAAGCAGAGGATAGTGGCAAATAAGTGCAGATTTCTCTCCATGGCTCTTGTAAACAGAACTGCAGTGAATTCTCACTAAACTGGCTACTGGCAGAAACAAGGCAGTGTGTGCGTCTATGTGTGTGTGTTTTGTAATAAAGTCACATGAAAGGAGTATGAAACACTTGGCAATCTGTCAGATGACTAATGCAAGATGCCAGCGATGAATCTGCAGATTGTGTGAAGCATCCATGTGTGCATCAAATTAGTATGATAGTGCCTAGAATGGAAAACACTCCAGCTATGTGGCTGGTTGCTGCCGATTACATGCCTATGCTCTTTAAAAAGGAAACGCAGCCTGGAGAGACCCAGTTTAAAGCACATTGTTTATTGCTGCCATAAAAAAAAAAAAAAGAGCAAAAAAACCCCACAATTTAAAAGTGGCAAAACTGCCTACTTAGTTTTGGAAATTAAAATGCTGTTTCAAAAAGTTTTCCTCCCCTGCAAAAGGAGATAAAATTTTTTGAACACTTTCACCCCCTGTAAATTCTTAGCCTGTCTGATCTCCAGATGTACATCCTATTTCCAAGTTCAAAACAACCACACTTTTGCAGTGACAAAGAACTTTGGAACAAAAAGTAATCTGATCTGGAAGACAAATGATAGATCACGATTTTGGAGGATTTGTACTCTTACGCAGAAAATACATAATTTTAAATACTGAACAAAAGTAAAAATACATCACTCCCTCCCCACCCCCCCTCTTTGCATTGTTGATAATTAAGGACAGTCATTTCAACTAATTACTTGGCTAGAAGTTCCAAAAGTGCTGATGATTTTTGGATGTTTCAGTTTCAAGAAAGAACACTAATGATGCATGAATTTTCAAGAATCCCCCCGATCTTTCCACCAGGGAGAGGGGGCAAATGGTCTGTATGCAACAATGTCAGAAGCTGATCATGGCAGAATTCAGGCATTTCAGAGCCACCTGCCACTTTCAAAAAACTTGGCTTTAATTAGATTTTCTCTGTTTGATGATTGTTCAGGAGTGAATGCCCACCAGAGGACTTGGAAGAGCTCAGAATCTGCACAACCAGATGAAAATCATATTTTACATGTGAGGGGAAAAAAAAATAATTCTAAGAGTGGCAAGAAGAAAACAACCCTGTGCAATTCCCCTGCCTCATAGCTATAACCTGTGTGAAGACAAATTATTTAGTTTCATGTGTTTCATCTCCTTGAAAGCATAATTCACATTAATATGCCAGGTATTGACTCTAGCACTTTCCCTGCTTACAGGTAGGAAGGAGAAAGTTATATTAAAGGCACATTTTACACCACCGGCGAGAAGTTGGATCATCCCTTGTGAAGTGCTTTCAACACGGATCAGCAGACAACAGCATTTATCACACTCATAAATGACTAAAATTCCTATCTGTTCTGGCAGGAATCTTGACTGAGTAAGAGACTCTAAGATTTGGTCCAAACCTTTTCATTACATTTCATGTACAAATATCTTGTCTTGCAAATGCTATTAATTTTGAGTAAGTTCTACAGGTCATAAGTTCACCTGCAGAAATTGTGACTTCTCCAGGCCTCAGAAACTGCATTTCCATACAAAGACAACACTTAAGTCAAACCAAGCCAACCATCCCCCTTAAAATTGCCAAGAAACAGAAAAACCATGCCTGACTCACTTGAGTGATACTTCATGGGAGCAACTTTCAAGACTTTCATGGAGCAGTAGGCACCTACATGACACTTAAACCGCTCAAAAACCACACCATTATTTCTTATTAATTCCTATTCCTTTGTGTAAAAGACAATCTGTCAAACAACCTCCCTAGAAGGATTCCTGACCCATAGCTTAAAATAACTGGGGACAATGCTTACATGTTATTTTTAAGGGAAAGGTAGAAGTTTAGTTAAGCTCCCAGCTCTGCCCTGGGCTTGGTTAACTATTTTCTTTCACAAATTGGCTTGACTTTTCACTTCATTTATTCTCTATGTTGTTTGTATTGAGTTCAGTTTTAAATTATGCCCTTCATCTGTTCTCTCTGTTGGATCCTGTCTTTAAGAAATCCATACACAATTGCTACTTCAGCCCAAAATTACAGCTAGGGTCATATTTAATAAAGAATAACAAGTTTACTTCTTTGCTTTTTCCTTTACCAAAACCACCTTTACCACCAAGAGCCCCACAATTTCCCTTGCTAATCAGCCAATTTTTTTAAAGCCAAACATTAATAACTGTTTTCTCAGGTTAATGGCCTTACTAGCATTAAGTTCTTGCTTTGAGCTAAAGGTTTAGGCACAGGCCAAGCTCTCTTCTAATTGCACAAAATGTTTAAGCCCTTTATTTTGTTGGGACCGAAGTTGAGTAACATTGATCATACTCTTTAAATTCTTTATTGGCTGAAGATGGTTAAAAGCTCTGACTCAAGGCATAGGTACCATACACTACGATGCAAAGCTCCAGGGGACAGGTTTTGTCACTGCCTGCATTAACTTGAGTAAGTCATTAAAACTTCTCCAAACTAAATTCTGCCATCCATTGACAGCTCTGTCAATCCATTAAATCCTGCAGAGTTAGGGAAAAACCAAGCATAATTTAGACTTTTCTTTAAAATACTTTTCTACCACAAGGTAGGGGCTTGACTGAGCTGCCAACATTTTGGTGGTTTGACAGACAAGTTCAGGCCACAGAGAGGGCACTCATTTCTACAAACACAGCTGGGCTCCTCCATAAACTGCACTTTGTTGATTTCAGTGCAAACCAAGGCTCTCAGACACCTCAGAGGGGGAATCCACGGCTTGTGTTGGGATTTTGAGGAGCTCATGAACACTGTTGCAGCAATGACACTTGCAGTAGTATCCTCACCCAGTTTTGGCAGCTGGTGTAGGACTAGAGCCGGTGCAGACAAAATGAACAAGTGAATAAAACAGCAGGGAGATAACAACGGGGAATAAACACCTATTTTATAGATTCTATGGATCTAATCCCTGCAGTGCACTCGAAGGCTCCACTGAGGAACAAAATTATACACCACACCTGCCTGCTGGTTCAGTTGTCACAGGGCTTGTTGGGTCCCTACAAAATCCAGCCAAATATGTTTGATCCTTTGCAAATGATCTCTTTTAAAGATTAATTCCCTTATCTTCTCCTAGCTTTCATCTTCACCCAATGGACATTAATGCTCTGCACTAAGACCTCTTGGCTGCTAACAGCTGTAGGGTTTTTACTAATTTCTCTTTGCCAACACAGTGGCTCTCAGAGGAAGTGGCTTCTTCCTTCCCTCATCTCCCTTTCTCCTGTACTCAAGAAGTAATAAGACAAAAGAGAAACTACATGTAAAACTTTCCAGAAGAAGCAAAGCAATCCTTGTCCTTGATTAGGATTATTTCTTGAAAGCACAAGTGTACAGGGATAGCTGTGTCTAGGGGACACTAACGAAAATGGGATCCCCTGGCACTTACTGTCAGCACCCAAATGATGACATACATTAAATAATAAAAAAAATAAAATTAGATTATGTGGCTTGCTGGCTGTACGCTGTAGCAATCCTTCCCTCCATGACCAATTTAGCCCATTGGACTCAGGGGTGACCCAGCACATCATCTTCACTGACAAGGTGTCATCTGTATCATAGAGAGCAGCCTGAGGGCAGAGATTAAGACACTGAGTCGCTGGCTGCTTGTGGTTGCTGCCAGAGCATCCTCTCTCTCAATTTGTGCCAATTTTTCTTCTAATAACCTAACAACCATTCCATCATTTCAGCAAGCTGACAGGGCCACTCTTGAGGAGCTAGAGATTGTTTTAATATCCCTGCTGCTTCAGCAGGAGCACCGGAAAAACCCAGTAGATGCCCTCTTGGTCTCTCCCATTCATATCTTTAATTACTGTAGGACTGCTAAAAGTGAACTGCCCACTCAGGACAGAGAGGTAGCCTTCAGCAACAATGACTGAATCAAAACAGACTCTCTTAAATTCATCACTGTTAAGAGCTTTGGCATTAATCCACGTTCATTTCCATTAATGATCCCAGTGTCAAGTCAGGTGCTGAAAAACAGCTGTTAACGGGGACCAAACGGATTTACATGAGACCTGTTTACCAAATCTGTTTTTAACCCTACCCAGAACTGTGCATATTGCAACCTCATATTGCAAATTCATATTGCAAATTCATATTGCAACCCTCACCTATTATTGTGTTTTTACCATTTGCTGGGGATTTGCCTTTTTCATGTTGCATGGTATAAGATATTTGAATTCCCTCTAAGAACCAACAGAATGAGAACATGATAACAAATGAGTTCCAAGTGTAATGACAACTAAATCCAACCCAGCACAGAGGCATTTACAGGCACCAAAGTTTCACAGCAATGAAGCACTTACATCTGAGCTGTGGCATCACTGCCAGGATATCACACAAACTGACAAAAGGGACAACACCCATTTGAAGGCTTCTGAGTGCTGTCAAGAGAAACAGCCAAGCATCACCTTACTGTACTCCAAAGATCATAATTGCTGGTTTACGAGCAAATTTTATCTGGAAGGACCCAAAAGGGCTTCATAAACTCATTGTTTTAGAGAGGAATGACTTCATCGTAAGGTGACAGACGGCAGCTGTTTAATGACATGGAGCATTATCACACAACAATTTCAGCCAGGAAGGGTAGAACAATACCCTACCCAATTGAAAACTGCAGGGGGCTGCAATTTATATACACAGAAGGTAATTACCTACATTGGATTTTGGCCAGCA